TGGGTCTTGAGGTCCCGGTGCAGGATGAGGTGAGTGTGCACGTGATGCAGTGCGAGCAGGATCTGCACAAAGAAGTGCAGGATGGTCTCCTCCTCCAGCAGGGAGTTACAGCGCTTTTGGATGAACTCAGCCAGGGTGCCACCTGTAGCCACAAGGGACTTGTCAAGACCCAAGCTTTTCCACGGCTGATACTCTGCTCTTGTGAAAGTAAAGTCCCAGACGGGGCAAGGGCCTGCCAGCGTCACACAACTGGGGTCAGAACTCTATACCTCTGACCCTCAGCCAAGCCCATTCCTAGGAGGGAAGCCAGCGGATCTGTGTCTGCCTATCCCAGAGGTGGGGGGCCTTGGAGCGAGGCCAGTGCAAGGAGGCTGGCCCACCTGGAGCGTATTCCATGGCGATCATGAGGGCCTTGTCCTCTAGGAAGTTCTCATAGTACTCGATGACATTGGGGTGGTTGAGCAGCTTGAGGACCTGGCACTCATTTTGAGCTGCCTGCCGCTCTTCCTTGGTCATCTGCTCCACTGGGATCTGCTTGATGATCACCAGCTTCTGGTCAGCCTTGCGCAGGCACAGGTGCACAATCCTGAGAACACAGAGTACGGGAGTAGCTGCCAGCTGAGCTTCCAGCCACACATCAGGCAGGGCAGACCTGGTGACTGGATGTTCCTGAGGGGAGGGGAATGGGCACCCAGACTAAGAGGTCATCTGAGTTTAGGAATGGGGAGAACTGACTGCAAACTCTGTGTGAGACCTAAGCAAGTCATTTAACTTATGTGACTCAGTTTCACCACAGGCACAATGAAGTAAAGTTAGTTTTGATCTCTCTAGGTTCCCACAGACTCTGGAGTTCTGCCTGAGTTCAAATCCTGGCTCCTCCTCTTATTAGTTACCTGGACTTGGATCCTGTGACATCATCATCTGGAAAATAGAATCAACCTCACAGGGTTGTTGAGAGGATCAAATGAGAAAATGCTTGGAAGACACTTAGCACAGTGCCTGGTACATCAAAAATGCTCAATGAGTGGAAACCATTCATATTATTATTTTCTTCCAACTCTGTGGTCAGTATCCGTAAAAGCAGGGTTCTTGTTCTTTCTTGCTCACCTCTGTATCCCCAGGGCACAGCCTCCTGCATACCCCAGCACATAACCGGAGCTCAGTAAGTATCTGCTGAATGAATGAATGGACTATAAGATGGTCATCTAAGTATCAAATTTGTGTCTCCAGCTCAGACCTCTCCTCTGAGCCCCAGAGGTACATATCCAACTACTTGCTTTGCATCTCTATCTGAATGGCTTGTGAGCATCCTAAATTTTAACAAATTCAAAATAAAATTCGTGGTTTCTGCCGCCACAACCTTTCCTTCCTCAGTCTCTTCCATCTCAGTAAATGACGCCACCATCCCCCAGTTATTACAGTCAGACACCTGAAAATCATGCCAGAATCTTTCCTCCATCTCACACTAAATATCAGTAAATCCTGTTTCTACCTCCAAAATATCATGAACCCATCCATTTCTCTCTGTGATGTCTGCTATAACCCTTGGCCAAATAATAATTTCTTGCCTAAAATACTACCCTAGCCTTCAAAATAGTCCCTTTCACTCTTGTTACCCTCAAATCTAAATTCCACACAGCAGCCGGAG